GGTTATCTGTATTATTCATAGCCAGATTCTGGTCCGAAGACAGTATCATCAACACTACACAGCGGTCATGGAACATGTCTGGTTATTAGCAATAAAGATGAGTTTTACAACACATACGGTCTGATACATAATAAAAAGATACCAAAAGATACCATCTGAGAGATGCAAGAGAAGATCCAAAAGTTTTCAAGACTAACTGTTAAGTCATTGTTTCTGACGATGAAGCAATTCTGAAGAGCCCCATGAACAAGTCATATCTCATTGAATTATAGGTCAAAGAATGGAAAGAAATGTTCACAGATCATGGAGAAACTACCCAGCAAAAGTTACAAATACTGCCTACAAGTTCCTCTTCTTCCAAAGCAAACCACAGAGTACTATCAACAACCATCCCGCAAAAAGATGCACATTTCTGTGTGTACTCTGTACTGCAAATAATGATTTTTAAAAAATATGCTACATAAGTATATTCAATGCTTTTCAGCTTAGCAATGATCTATTCTTGTCCAAAGTATTAGAAAATTAGTACATGGAACAGGACAAGATCTACTGAAATTAATAAAGTCTGAGAGCATGACAGTTTCAAAAAGCATCATCACGTATTGTATCATCTCATGTAGTACCAGCAACTAATCTTATGCCAAGATCAGAGCTCTCAAAAACAATGGCTAACTGCACCTATCCTAATCTAGCAGAAAGCAACCTGCACATATTCTTGACTCCACCTCACATCTTTTCAGCACTTACCCATCTGTTTCTAAGTAATACGTACTTTGTAATCCAACATCCTTAAATATTTTCATGACATCTCTATAATATACTCAAGACAGCAAGACCCTTGTGCATACTGACAAGTGTACCTCTTTCCCCACTGTTAAATACAGCTATAACCTTTCCTTGCAGACAGTTCAGCAAGTACTAATTCCCAACACATAATGCCAGCTCCAAGTAGAAAAGCTAAGATTTTCACAGCTACCCCAGCTCAACACTATTTTTCTATTGTTTGAGTTTCACTGAAATCTAACCTGTTAAAGAACATAAACCACCCTGGATTAATTAAGGGAATATAGCTCACCCTCCCAGATGACTCCTTCCAGTGTATTGTGCAATTCCAATATTTTGTGCTTCAAAAATCAGAATTTTATTTTTATTACATGGCTTTTTGGACTGCTTTCCCAAACTAACGTCCTTCCTGCCAAAGTATCTTCAATTCTTTTTAATAATGTCTATTAGTCATCCCATCAGACCACCAGTTTTATTCAACTGTATCTGATGCTATTACTCATAACCAAAGAGAAGTATTTCTATGCTTGGGTCAGATGACATTATTCCAGTACACCCTCTTACTAGTGGTATTTCTTATGAAGAAAATACTTCATAGTTATGTAATAACCTATTGGGGATATTTCCAACACTTGGTGAAGGCTGATTTCTGCTTAGAGGCCTAAGAACTGTTGAAAGAGTTCTCATCATGCATGAGTATCTAACTCCTTTTAGAAGCCTGCTATAGGCTAGATGAACTCAATGACACCGTGTTGAATCAGGATTATACTATATATATACATCACCTTTTAAAACGTATTTCTTTGCAGTCTAACTGACCTTTATGTTCCTGTGTTCTGAAATGGTTTATAGAGAACTCAAATGTTTGATTCAACTGGTACACCTCTGATAAGTAGGATCACAAACTACATTGTAAAACCTCAGGTACTGTTCCAGGATAATCAGGGATGGCTTGGCATGTCTCATTCTTCTATGGTTAAAAAAATCCAAAAAAACCCTCTACAACACAACCTCCAGAATTCTGCAGGTTTGTTTTTCAAGTCCTTAACAAAACTGAAAGCCAAAATCCTCATATTTTTTAGTTTGAAAGTAGTGTTAAAGTTAGTACAAAACAGTTTTCCTGTATCATACGAATAACAACTTTGAAAATATTTTCTAAATATTTGCAACAGATTAAGAATTCTCCTACTTCAATAAAAGTCACATTTTTGTATTCTTATTAATTATGTAAGAACACAAAACACTCATTTAGAACCAAATACTAAAGCTAGTATTCAAAGCAAGTTGAATTAACAGTCTCACTATCTCTACACTTAGAAGTCATGACTGACAAATTCTAATACTGCAAGAATCATTTATGTCTCTTTGGCCAAACTGAAGAAAAACCTGCTTTTGATTTTGGCTGCAGTAATCATTTTATCTCCTCATTCTTGTGATTGTGGACATGGTAAGAGCAGTAAGTACTCGTAAAGGTCTATGTTTACCCATACATTCAAAATTCTATGAAAATCAAAGAAAAATCCAAGTTCAAAGTCAAATTTTGGCCATCTGTCACTGAAGTAATAGGAAAAAAAAAAACATTGAGCAGTAAAACAAAACTTACTCAGATACTTGTTCAGCAGTTGGGATATCTACAGAAACTGAAAATGAAAATAAAGGATTTTATTAAAAATATTTTAAAATGTGGAACTTTTAAATCCAAGTACACAGAAATAACAATAACGCAACTGAAAAAAGGACTGCAATAACACCAAACATCCACATGTAGGTATTTGCACATGTCTACTATACAAAAAAAGGCACTATTATGTACTTACCTTTCTCTATAACGACTTGACAAGTATGTGTGTGGCTTTCACTCAGATGTGTGGCCATGCTATCTAAGCCAGAAACATCAGTCAGGAAATCACAGTTAAGACACACTACAGTCACACCTCTAGAGAATAGAAAGTAAAAAGGAAGTATAAATACAACACGGTTGTGGAAACAGGTTTTTTAACTTAGAGCAACTGGACAGACTATTAAAAAAAAAATTTCCTCTAACTTTCTATGAGATCATCACAAAAACATGTTCTTACTTTTCATACTGCAGCTAGCACCTGGTAATCCCTATGAATGACCAGAGCATCTCCATGCTGGACATAGCACAAAGAACACTTTAGACAAATCTATCTGTAAAGCATGAGTTTCTTGGGTTTGGTGGGTGTTGTTTGTTCTTTATTTTGTTTCCATTGCCCCCTCCCCATTTTGCATATTATGGATAATCAGAAAATAAAGAAACAACTATTTTTTTAAATCTGCTTAAAGAAGTTACTAAATGTGGATAAATAACAAATAGTTGTCACTGAACAGAACACATCTCATGGAAGAGCTAATGCTTTTATTTCCCTGCTCTTTCTAAATTGCAGAAGCCCAGAAATTCAAGAGGCTCTAATCTCATTTAACAAATCAGTTCAGTATCAAAAGTAAAACCACAACGATCTGTAACTGAAAAAAGCTGAATTACCGGAGCTCTTCTGAATGCTTCTTATAGATCCAAAATCTTTTGCTTGGACGAGCACTGTGAAAACTAAATACATGAAAACATTACCACTTAAAACTGGCTTGAGTATATTACTCCCTGCACTGTACATTACTTATGACAAGGCATGAAAATAGAACTTGGTTACTGACCTGTATTATCCTAAAACATTAAATTGCTGAAAACTTACAGAATTGTGAATCTCAGCTGTAGTTTAGAATGTTGACTCTCTTATAAATAACAGAAGCAAGGCTTAACTTTGTCAGCACAGTCCTGCAAGAACATAGTTACATTGCTTCCATCAGCAGTTTAGCTCTTGAAGCACCATGGCTATAGCCAGACAGCACTTCACAGAAGTGAAGCTTTGCTGAACTCACACTTCCAAAAGAAATGGCTTAAAATGAGATAAATGAAGTTTTCAGACAACCTCTAAGTTCTTTCATACAGGTTAAGTATGTGTCAACACTGTACTCGCATATGAAACAAAAAGCAAGCAGCTGAGTACAGGGGCTGCTACTGCAGAAACACCCTCCCTCTAACAACCTTCTTCCTCACCATCCCCTGTTCCTTACACGCACCAAAAAAGGTTATGATAGACGCTGCAATGGGTCAAAGTAGGGGGAGCGTTAGCGTCAAGGAGACAAAGGACTATTTTACCGCACGCTTGAATTTTACAATACCCAGAACATGGGCAACAGTAGGAACAGTTTACCTTAGACTTCTCCCCCCTTTTCTGGAGTAAAACTCTTGTACAATCAGAATTAAGCACATTAATTTTTATTATTTTTTTAAGCATGCAACCAATGGTTTATATGCATAAAATCGAGTAAAGTACTTCAGTCTAGGTCTTACATAAGCATTGAAATTAACATGAATAGGTCAACATATAAAACATACAAAAGCTTCTAAAGACTTGGGTCATAAATTCAAGAACTCTAGCATTCAAAAATGCCAAGGCACTTTATACATACATATATTTAAAAAGACAACTGCATTCTATATTTTTATGCAATATATTTGGCTTGAATAGGATAATTCTACTGCTCTGAAAACAAATGCATTTGTTTTCTTAACAGGCTTTTTAGAGCTGTCATCACTAAAACCCTACACTGCCTTACAATCAGTGACAAAACTCCTGCAAAATGAGATGTTATTTTAACAGTTGACCAGAAGTAGTCTAAGAAAAGGTATCCACTTGAGCATGCTATTTGAGACATCCTTTACATGGTATTCAGAGCACAGATCTCATTAGCCATATCTGTGGCTGTATGCATTCAACACTTGTAAAATCAGATAAGATATTACATCTGAAACCTGGAGAACTTGCAATAATTAGTCACTACTTGCTAAGTCTGGCTGAAATCATTATGGAAGGTCTCATAGAAACTGAAGTAAAGACAGAACACTTCCTGAACCACTGGAATTTTAAAGCAAAACAAGAACATGATGTTTAGGCCCTCATTACAAGGCAAAAAGCCAACTTTACGCATTTCCCCATCAGTCCTATGATCCAGTTCAAAATTCAGCTAACAGAAACACTTAAGAAACCTTATATGAATTTAGGAATTATATGATAACCCAATGAAATTTTTGAAGGCTTCTTACCTCATCATGTGATTCACATAGGCTTTGCTACAGCTAGTGTTGTATCTGCATAAGCTACAGTGGACATAAGCAGGAAAATGGCTTGCAAAATCTTTTACTTCTGAGTAACATTCAATGCATTTGTGAACTCCTGAAAGATACCTAACAGTAATATGAAAAAGTTAACTATTAATATCAACTTCTTAAGACAAGATAACTATTCCAAACTTACTGCTTTAAGTTAGTAGCAAGCTTGCCTGCTTCCTACTTGAGGAACTTAAAAATGTAATACTGATTAAAGGTTACAGTAGCACACAAAGAAAACTTTTTTGTTTCCCTCCTTCCTCAATTTATACTGTCATTCTGTCATTATGACCTTAATAAAAAATGTGAAAGTTAATGTAAGCATCTGTTACTGGCAACTCCTGGACAAGAAGATACTGCAGTAGTTAAGAACCTCCAACTTCAGCTGCTGCTGTTGTCTCTATGTACTTGAGAAGGATTTCAAAGAAATTCTCCATCCACCACAACACACAGAAAAAGCTGTTGGTTTTCTTGTCACCCCTGATATTCCCCACTTCGAAATATCTACAAAGCAAGAACGTAATCCTGCTCTTCCCCAGTTTTGCTGGACATTTCTGGATGTCTCAGAGAGCTACACACAGGGAGCATCAGCACCTTACTGGGAGACATCTACAATCTTCGACAAAGAAAACTGCTAACTCATCTTAGCCAATGAAGTTATATTCTAGTCCATAAAACACCCATTAAATTATTAACACAAGGATAGCAAAACCCAGTACACTGTAAATATAAAGACAGCATTCTCAATAGCATTAACGTATTTCCTAGGACAGACAAGACTTAATCTTTCAAATAAGAGGTTCAAATAAAACCCTCAAAAAAAATTTGAGGGAAGAAAATACTTTTGCCTTCATGAGAAAACCTGCAAAGAACACCCAGGCAGGCAGATGTATTCCCATCCTCAGGTCACTTTTAAACATAAATCTGCCTCATGAGTCAGTATTTCAAGACTCTGTGGCTCTATGCAGAAAAAAACCCCCTAAATTTAGGACAGGAAAGTTTCCAGAACATATGTCTTTGCATCATAAAGTAGTCTACCACCAACAAAATTGATGAATGAAGATTCAGAATTATAATCACAGTACCAGTAGCTTTTTCTACAAAACTGAAGTCTTCTCTACTGCAGTATAAATTATCAATTAGAAGTTATTGGAAGAGACATTGAAATGATGGGTTATTTACAGATATTTTTAATACCAATATATTACCTTAGATTATGCAATGCTGTATTTGTAACTTCTTTTTTTTTTCTGCTGTTGGTCCATGCATTTTGCTTCTTTGATGTAGCTGGTTTTGATTTTGCTTTTGACCTATTTGTATTAGATTTGTTATGATTTTTAGTGGTATTTTTAGCTTTAGGTGATAACTGAAATGTGGAAGTACTTGTACTAACAGAAGATGTAGCTGATGATCCTGACAGAAGAGATCCAACAGATGCTCGAATAGTCACCTACAAGTACGAAATGAAAACATTTTCTATTTAGATTTAAGCTCTCATTTCTATTTGTCTCAGTATTTAAGTCACTTCAGGACAAAAATCAGAGCATAAGAAACACTCCACAGTAAAGACTGCTTTGAAAATTATGAAATGCTGTTGGCTGGAGTAAACCTAGCCTCAATAGTCTACTGGATGCTTAAGAAGCTCTTGTTTTGGTGCAGATAGTCATGACAAAATACACTGCTCTCTTTTCAGACCTGTACTTGGCTACATCCTGCTTTCTTTAAACAAAGAAAACAATAACGTAGCTGTGGAAAAGAAAGAGGGATGAGCCCAATTAGCCCTATTAAGAAGAGTAAACAGTTCTGTCAGTGCCTGTACTTAGAATGGTTTGGGTTGGAAAGGACCTTGCTATCACATCTAGTTCCAAGCCCTCTGCCACAGGCAGAGATACCTCCCACTAGACCAGGTTGCCCAAAGCTCTATCCAATCTGGCCTTGAACACTTCTAGGTATGGGGCACCCACAGCTTCCTTGGGTAACCTGTGCCAGGGCCTCACAACTCACAATAAATAATTTCTTCCTTGTATCTAACCTAAATCTCCTCTGTTTAAGTTTGAGCTATTACCCCTTGTCTTGTCACTACAGTCCCTGATGAAGAGTTCCTCTCCAGCACCTTTGTAGACTCCCTTTAGATAGCAGAAGGCTGCTATAAGGTTTCCATGCAGTTTCTCTTCTCCAGGCTGAACAGCCCCAACTTTCTTAGACTGTCGTTGTGCAGGAGGTGCTCCAGCCCCCTCCAGGCCTATCATCCTTGTGGCCCTCCTCTGGACTTGCTCCAAGTTCCATGTCCTTCTTATGCTGGGGACACCAGAACTGTATGCAGTACTTTGACCAGATTCAATAAAAGTCTTGTGTCTTCCTGCCTCAACATTAGTCTGTCTACTTCCTTCAGATATTTTTGTTCCTCATCCTAGATCCCCAAGGGCTAATTCTTGCCCATATTCATAGTTTAGAAGGACCTCATCTTCTAAACCTGGTCCCAGGTGTCTACTAACACTAAAATTTTAAAAATAATCTAAGCTTTTCTT